GCGGTAGTTTTATCCGAACCGCACATCATATTCAAATCCACTTCCTGAAATGAAAGAATGAGCTTAACAACATCTACACTTCCATACATGGCAGCGACCATCAGAGGGGTCCGGGGCTCGAGAACCATTTTTCTCAAAAAACTCTGGCGAGAATACCAGAGACCGATCTGGTTGACACGAGAAGCATCCAAAAGATGCCTCTTAAAGCTCTCGACATCATTGTCTGCCGCGAATTCAAGTAAGGCCAAGAACGAGCACTCGGACTCTGTTTCTCCGATGGAACCGTTCATGGCTTTATCCTGAGATTCACTCTCCTGTTCTGAAGATGAAGTTAAACTATTGCCGCCCGAATCCAACTTATCAGAGACACTGCACATGCTTCGCCAAACTGAATCGAATCTGAAAAGCCAAACCAGAGGAGAAGAAAACAAGTCACTTGCACGAACCTAAATACCCGGAAATTAGGGCAACGACTTAGAATTTGCAAGACAGACCAAAGCTTTTGTTTCTTGTGAAAAAGATAGACACAAGCCAATAAGAATGAACGAATAAGGTGATACTACAGGCAAATATAAGCAATAAAACCAAGAAAGGGAAAAAAATCCTCTAACGTAAATAATAGACGACGAAAAAGGGAAAGTCCAAAGATTTCCAATCCAAAAGACCAAAATCAGACCCGTCTCTAACGGATCTTTTCTTAGCTGGAATCCTAATCGCAAATCCTTCAAATTTCCTGCAGGAAATCCAGTCTCTTAACAACAAATCTTATGAAATTAAATTCTAACCCTAACCGGGAAAAAAATTCCTAAGAGTCACCAGAATCTGTAGATTTCAGTGGAGCATCCCCATCTAACAGACAGGAAGACATTTTCTCGGAAGATTTTCCGAGAAACCAAACAGATAAACAACTTGAAGAACAGAAGATTAAAATACCAACTACGTTAAACCAAACTTAAAATTTTGAGAAAAAAAATAATGTGAAAGAAAAGTCAATGAACAGTCAACCACAATCGCAATCTCAAAACTCCACGAGGCCAAACCACTTGACTTAAATCACAAGCACCCAACAGAAAACTTCACAGAGAAGCTGAAAATTCAGATGGAAAACACCGCAAACAACAAAACAAGCAGATTCCAAAACACCCGAAAAACAAAAGAACAAAAAAAATTATGGAGAAAAAAAAACAATTTTCTGCCAATCAACTCCTCCATCACTGTCCCAGCTTCACAAAAATCGCAAAAACACCAAAAAAAACTCACCTTCTATGGAGATCAGAACACGAACCCCGCGATCCGGAAAAACACCACGCATATGAATCTGAAAAGTAACCTCGAAACCTAAAATCTCATTTCCCGATCCGAAACCCGGTTAAGCTAGAAACCGATTGACCAAATCTGAGGCCAAGCAAAACGGAAAACCAGACGAAGAAGAAGATCGATCAGCGAATGGGGAAAGGCCTTTGGAACGAAAACGTAGAGAGAGAAGAGTGGGTTACCGGAAGAGGAGGTGAGATAGAGTGGAGTGGGTGAGAGGCAGTACTAAAGAGCTGGAAACCGGATAAATCGGTGAACGGTGGCGGGCGCGTGGGGACAATTTAAATGGATTGGAATGTAGGATTTGGGGTCCGCTTTAAAAAGAATTTGATTCATAAATGTGAACCGTTGGATTGTGAGGAGCGGCTTTTGGACAGTCGCGGTTTTTTAATTTTGGAAATTCTTTAAAGATTTTTAATTTAGACAAAAAAAAAATTCAATCCACCACGAAATGTGTGGGTTGGGTTTCCGTTGAGGTTATGTGGGTCAAATCTAACAGCTTATTTTAATAATTTTTAATATAAAATGCTATAATTAATTCATTTAAGATAAGATACAATAGTTTTGACACTAAAGTAATTTTTGCACTCTTATAAATATAAATCCTCTCAATCAGTGAATCGATTATTTTAGAATTTAACTAAAAGAAAATTATATGCATCCCTTTAAAAAAAATTGTTCAATTAAAAATATTGATGTTAAACACATATTTTAATTTTAATTTGTTTTTCAGATTATTTTTTTATATGATTTGAAATGCAGAACGCTCAGGGGGGAAACTAATTTCATATGTTTTCTGGACTGTGAATAAAAAAAAAGGTCTATATACGCCTTTTAAATGTTTTTATAGCATCTCTTTTACGGAAATTGCTTTTTATGGAACGTTGAAAATATAGACTATAACATAAATTGGACCAACGAAAAGACCAAGACATAAAAATAGTACTATTATATTTATATGCATACATAGATTTTATGGAAACATTGAAAATCTATCCGAGAGGCCGTTTACAAAATCATATATAAATATATATAGAGAGAGAATGTTATTCTCTAACAATAGAAATAAATTGTGAAAGATTCGGTTGAATCGTATGTGAAAAGGATTACAGATATAAAGAAAATATTATTGAAAATAAAGATTATAAGAAAAACGGGAAAGGATAAAATCATTTTAAAGAGAAAATTGAAAAAATATATAGAAGTCAAACACTATTAATAAGTAAAATATCATTCGAGGCAAAATAATGAAGGTAATGGAAAAGAGAGTTGGATCGGTAAAATATCAAAAAATACACCTACTACTTTGATTTTAACGATACCTCTAATTAATGAAAAAAATAAACGGTTAAAAGGTTAAAATATTCGTAAGTAAAAACGAACGAAAGATAAAAAACGTTTTTATTTAAAAAATGAAAATTATCAGTATGAGTCTAAGAAACACTTTTAGAAATAACACAAAAAAAAGAGTACTAGAATATAAGAAAAATCTTTAAAAAACAATAATTAGGACAATTCATTTGTCGTCGAAATATTAGAGTCGAGATCCGGCGAAAAACGAAAAGATGACATTCGTACGATGTTAAAGTACGCATTTTTACTAGGTATTTTTTTTTATAACGGTAAATCTGTATTAAATCAAAACGGTTCGTATACAACCCGACTTGCAGCCGAAACTAATCATACATGGAATGGATTCCAAAAACGTAAAACTTACAAAATTATGATCAGTGCCTAAGATACGATTGAATCACAAACGTGAGTGAAAGCCATTCATCCATAAGATTGTGTGATGAAGGATTGGGGACCGTAGAACCCAAGCATAGTTATCATGAGAGAATTGTGTCACGAACCTGTCTATCAAGAGAGATTTGAGCCTTTTCCACTAGGGATGATGTGTTTCTAAAAATCCTTGCATTGCGCTCCGACCATATAATATATATCGCTGTCTGAATTACCACCTTCGCTAAAACCTTCCTCGGCGCCGATACCTGGCCCGATTGGCTATCAAGCCAAACCTTACATCTATCTACTTCTGATGGAGGTGATAGATAACATGCTGATGCAAATATCCTCCATAATCCAATGCTGTAACTACACTTAAAAAACAAATGCGCATGAGTTTCTAGGGCTGACTGACAACGCACACATATAGGATTATGTTCGATTTTCCATCTCTTTAGACAGTCCTTAGTCGATAGCCGCTTGAGCATGACCTGTTGGTTTAGTGCTCTATGATGTATTGTTTGCGAGCTTTCCTTGGATACATTTGAGGTATTGATATTTTCTATAGTTTTATGAAAGTGTTTGATTCATTACATGTTGTGCATACTAGATATGTTATGAAATCCATGTATTGTTATGAACAATACTAAACTCCCTAGTCATGTATCATTGTGGGAATAATGATACACTAAGACTAGTATGATGTGTGATTGATGATCATAGATATTGGATACGATCACAATCATAGGTATTCGTTGGAGAACGGAATACTGGAATGACCCGCATGAGATTATCACATGGACTAGCATCATGACTTGAATCTCATATGGCGGTTCCATGAATGGATCCTAAGACCTGAGATATCTACGGAATCCAACATGAGGAGTTGCGTGCTTTGAATACGTCAAACGTCTAGCGTAACAGGAGGACTATAAAGGCGTGTATCAGGTACGAAACGAATCATGTGATGGATTGTAGATAGTCAAGATGGGATTTGTACCTCTCGTAAAAGAGAGAGATATCGCTGGGCCCCTCGTGTGAGCGAGACTGTAGAAATGTGTGGCCGCACTATAGACGAACGTCGTCTATTTCAGACAGTCGAACTCAGTGAACGAGAAAGCAGTCGAATCAGATAAGGTGGCTTGTCCATGCCTTATGTTCGACATATGATATCGCGATACAAAAGGATCATCAACCAGAATTATCACTGGCGTTCGTAAGATCACGAACAAACTCTATTCGAGATAGGTAGTCATAGTTTCTTGATAGAGACCGCCTATGACTTGTATATCCGGAATAGAGATTTCGGGTTATACTGCTATATCGAATGAGCCTACAGAGTCACACACGCAGGGAAGGACGAAACGCACGAGAAAACGATGGAAAAACCGAGACGGAAGGGATTGGAACGGACGGACCGAATGGGCCAGACCCGACGGTCCGCCAGGTCTAGACCCGATGGTCCACGTTTAGTCACAGACCGTCCGTTCTAAGTGTTGGAACATATCGATCCGCGTTGACAGCAGACCGTCCGTTCTGGCTTGTCTGGAACAGACGGTCCACGTGAGCAGACCGTCCGTTCTGGCTTGCTGGAATGGACGGTCCACGTTTATTTCTGGACCGTCCGTTCCGGGTTTCGGGTTTTTTCGAAAATTAAACCGAATTAGGGTTAAATCACCTTATTAGAAGGAGATTAAAACCCTAATGAACTAAGAGACTTTGAGAGCCATCTTTGGCAGAATTCTAAGAGCTTTTGGTGAGATCCAAAGAGTTCAAAGAATTCTAAGTCTTGTTTTCTCGAAGCATCAAACCGAATAGCAGATTCGGGTCCTAGCAGAAAAGTTCCAACCGTTGGAATCCATCCCGAGGTGTGGATACGTGTAGAGGGCGAGGTATTCTTCCTCCCTTTCGTGATCAGATGAATTCTTCAATTGATACAGGCCCCGGATCGATTGAGGTAAGCGTTCTAACATTTCTACGATTCATAGAAGCATGGTTCTAGGGTTTATTAAATTTTTTGTTTTACATCTGCTGCGCAAACCCTAGAATCGATCTCTTAGGAATAGGATTCGCTCTAGAGATCCCAGGAAACCCAACATGACCTGCCACTGAACTAGAATCGATCTCTTAGGAATAGGATTCGCTCTAGAGATCCCAGGAAACCCAACATGACCTAAAGCTCATCCTTGGATTGGCTAGCCCAAACTGTAAGAGGGAATACCAAGGGACCTTAGCAAAAACATGTCGGATCAGGGCCCATGTGGATGAGGAAGAGTAGCTAGGTCGAAAAACTGATGCAGATGCCTTCCATCAAAGGAATCGGGGCCAGCTACCGGAGTAGGTGGCAGAATCGACGAGATACGAGACATTGCTTTCTGACATCTGTCTGAACGCGCTCCCGAAAAAGACCACTCTGATTCTCGCAATGCCGAGTTCACAGTCGCATAAAGGCACACGAAGCTCTCTTGGCCCCGCTGGTCCTACAAACTCAATCAGAGGACCCAAACCAGTCCAGTTATCATGCCAGAATTGAGCGGAAGCCCCATTATCCAGGTTACATTTCAGAAAGGTGGCTATAATATCCTTGAAACTGAGAAGCTTTCGAATGCCTTAGGAATGTCTTGGCACTGCTAACGTGCCCCAAAATCCTTTCCGTCTGAAGATGTGTTGTTTGAGCCATGCAACCCATAATGAACCCGATTCTTTGAAGATCTCCCAGATGCTTTTAAGTCTACATAGAGTGTTGTAGTCCTCTAGCTTTCGAATGCTTTGGCCTCCTTCCTCTCGCGGCAGACAAACCAGAGACCATGCCACTCTTGTTGTGTTTCTTCCCTCTATCGAGTTTTTCCAAAGGAAGATGGAGCATTATCTGTCAATATCTTGTAACAGGAATTTTGGAAGCAAGAAAGCTCTGGTCCAAGCATTAACAATGCCATAAATAACTGTTGAGATAAGAAGGATACGGGCCGGGTAAGATAAATGTTTCGAAGTCCACAATGAGAGCTTCTTCCGAATCCTTTCAAGCAGTGGCTTATAGTCCTCTCTTGACAACTTCCAAGCACCGATTGGCACTCCCAAATAGCGAACCGGCAAAGAACCAATCCAGAAACCAACCCTAGAGCTGATACTTAATGCATCGGCTTGCGTCACCTCCCCAAGGAAGAGTTCAGTCTTCACCTCATTCAGCTTCAACCCCGAGTGTAGACTGAATCGGGATAACAGATTCTTCACCCCTAAGATCGATTCAGCTTTACCTTCAACAAAGACCATCAAGTCATCAGCAAACACACGATGAGATATAAGAGGAGATGAGCACCGCGGATGTGTCTGAATGTCACCACTTGTCATTGCTTTGTCTAGTAGTCTAGATAATGCCTCCATCGAGAGAATGAACAGATATGGTGAGATGGGATCACCCTGCCGCAGTGAAGAAGGCATGGGGAATGATCAGATAGCCCCGGCGACAGAAACTCGACATAAGCATTTGGGAACTTGTCAAACCACGCCTCGTTGATCAAGGTAC